GAAATGTTGTTGTTGTTATTGGGTTGTTTTTGTTGTTAATGCAGATGTTGTTGTATTTGTTGTTGTTGTTACAGCGATTGTTGATCATTTCGATGCTGTTCCCGACCTTGTGATTGTTTCACTGATAACTCGCTGACGTGACTCTGTTGTGCTTGCTGTTGTTAGGGTAACGGACCCCTTTTGTTTTTTTTTTTGTTTTTGTTTTTGTTGACACGAGGCTTGGGAGACCAACGCGAGTCTGCAATCTGCGTCACTTCTTTTTCTTTCTGGGGCTTCGTGCGGCCATGTTTGGGGGCAGGAGAATCGGGGGGTATTTATTTTGGGGCCGGTTCGGTGCACGTGCAAGAGAAGGGGGGGTGGGGGGGGGGGTAGAGAGAGAGGGGGAGAAGGGATGGGGAGGGGAGAAGGGGGGGGGGGAAGGGGGGGAAGGAGAGGAGAGGAGAGGGAGAGTGAGTTGAATGTTGAGTGTGAGTGTGTTTGTGTCTGTTTTCTCCAATCTGTGTACTTGTTATCATAATTCGTCGGTTTTTCGTTTTTTTTTTTCTACCTCTCCCTCCTCTCTCTCTCTCTCTCTCTCTCTCTCTCTCTCTCTCTCTCTCCTCTCTCTCCTCTCTCTCTCTCTCTCTCTCTCTCTCTCTCTCTCTCTCTCTCTGTCTCTCTTTATGTTTGTAATGCATTCCCCTCCCTTCCTCCTCCTCCCTCCCTTCCCTCCCCTCCCCTCCCCTCCCTCCCCCCCTCCCTTCCCCTTCCCTCCCCTCAAAAAGCCCCACCCATGCCTTAGCGGCCGTTTTAACCGAGCATTGGCGGCACTTCCCGATAGAGTGTTTGATAAACAATACAAAAGTGAGAGTAAGAGGAAGGTTAGAGTAAGGTTAGAGGGAGGTAAGAGTAAGGCAAGAGGAAGGTTAGTGGAAGCTAAGAGGGAGGCAAGAGGAAAGTAAAGGAAGGTAAGGGGTAAGGTAAGAGTAAGATGAGAGGAAAGTAAGAGGAAGGTTAGAGTAAGGTAAGAGGAAGGTAGTGGAAGCTTAGAGTAAGGGAAGAGTAAGATAAGAGTAAGGTAAGAGGAAGGTAAGAGGAGAGTTAGAGTAAGGGAAGATTAAGGCAAGAGTAAGGTAAGAGGAAATTAAGAGTAAGGTAAGAGGAGGGTAAGAGTGAGATAAGGGAAAGGCACAGCAGGGCGGTGAAGCGAAAGGGTCTAGGGCGCTGGCGGTGTCACCGGAGTGCCTTCGTTTTATTGGCGTCGTTGCTGTAAATTGATAAGGGCAAGGGAAGGCCATCGTCTTCGTTATCGTCATCGTCCTTGTCCTTGTCTTCGTTATTGTCCATCGCCGTCGACTCGTCCTCGTCCTCCGTCCTCTCTTCCTTCTCTTCTTCTCCTCTCTCTTCTTCTTCTTCTTCCTCCTTCTCCTTCTTCTCTCTTCTTCTTCTTCTTCTTCTTCTTCTCCTTCCTTCTCCTCCTCTCCTCCTCTTCTCCTCCTCCTCTCATCATCATCGTCATTATTATTTTTATCAGTTTTGATGTTGTTCTTGTCGGTGTATTTTAAAACAAGTTGTTATTAATTATTGCTCTAGGCCTATTTTCTGCGTTCCGTAATGCTGACGCCGTCTCTATGGTGACGTACGTTATCGTGTTCAGAATTGGCTGTGATGTTCGTTCAGGTGTTCCTTATCGTTTTATTTGCCGTCTTCTTTATTCCTTTTCTTTGTTGTTTTCTCTCTATCCCCGCTCTTTTACATGCTTCGCTCGCTCTCCTCTTCTCTCCTCTCTCTCTCTCTCTCTCTCTCTCTCTCTTCTCTCTCTCCTCTCTTCTCATCTCTCTCCTCTCTCTCTCTCTCTCTCTCTCTCTCTCTCTCTCTCTCTCTCTCTTCTCCCTCCCTCCTCCCTCTCCTCTCCATCGTCCCATCCTCTCCTCCCTCCCTCCTCCCTCCCTCCTGTCTTAAACTAGTGTAGCCTCGCTCAGTCGTGCTCGCTTATTTTGACCGTCCTCCTCGTCAGCAGTAATATCAACTCTGTCAGTCGTTGATCCAGGCCTGTAGTGTTTTGTCTGTGTGAAGAGTTCGGTTGGAGTTGGGAGGCAGCCCATTGAAGTCTAGACTCCTTCGAAAATTGACTAGAATGCACGTTTCTCGCAGACTATGACCTCGTCAGCTTGAGGCCGCTTGGCCACGAAAGATCTTTTAATCATCGTATGTGTTATGAAATTTTGTAACATATGCGTTACACGTGTAACTTCACACAGCTGATTTGCGATGGGCGATCGGCGGTCCTCGCGATGCAGTAAGACTTAAGCTTTACTTATTCTCCCTCCTCTCTCCCTCTCTCTCTCTTCTCTCTCTCTCTCTCCTCCATCTCTCTCTCTCTCTCTCTCTCTCCCTCTCCTCTCCCTCTCCTCTCCTCTCCCCTCCCTCTCCCTCCCTCCCTTCCCTCCCTCCCTCCTCCCTCCTCCTCCTTCTCTCTCTTCTTCTCTCTCTCCTCATCTCTCTCTCTTCTCTCTCTCTCTCTCTCTCTCTCTCTATCTATTATTCACTCTCTCTCCTCTCTCTCTCCTCTCTCTCTCTCTCTCTCTCTAATCTCTTCTTCTCTCTCTCTCTCTCTCTCTCTCTCCTCTCTCTCTGCTCTCTCTCTCAACCTCTCTCTCTCTCTTCGTTACTTTTCGGTGTCACTTTCATCATCGCCGCCATCAATATTCATTCATTTCTGTCATCATTAGCATGCTGGGCGAAAGGGGACTGACGTAGGATGGTAATTCAGAAGGACGTTTTTGCTTTCTGCGTTTGTCTGTCCTGTTGCGAGGTCTGTGTGTCTGTCTGTCTGGCTGTCTTTCTGGTTGTTGGCTGGCTGGCTGGCTGTGTCGCTGTGTCTTGTTTCTCTGGCTGTCTGTTCTCTGTTTGTCTGTTTCTCTGTCTGTCTGTTCTGTGTCTGTGTTCTCTCTGTCTCTCTCTGTCTCTCTCTCTTCTCTCTCTCTCTCTCTCTCTCTCTCTCTCTCTCTCTCTCTCTCTCTCTCTCTTCTCTCTCTCTTCTCTCTCTCCTCTCTCTCGTCTCTCTCTGTCGCTCAATCTCTCTTTTCTGATTAGGAGAGAGAGAGAAAGAAGAAAGAGAAAAAGAAAGAAAGAGAGGAGAAAGAATATATAAATAAAAGAAGAAGGAGGAGGAAGAAGAAACATGAACATAAAAAAAAAGAAAAAATGAAAGAGAGGAATCAGAGAACGAGAAACAGGAGACAGGCCGAGAGACGACCTCCGCCCCCCCCCCCCCCCCCTCCCCCTTTTCGCCTGCAAGGTCACCCACCCACCTTTTGCTTTAAGGAATTGCGATCGGATAAAGATATTGCCGTTATCCGGATGTTTGTCTTGTTCCTTATTCTTCTTCTTCCCTTCTTACACTTTTATTATCCTCTTTGTTTATTTTTGTCTGTCTGTTTTCCTTTTCTTTTCGTTTACTTTCCTCTTTCTATTGATTTTTTTCTGTTCGTTTCGCGTATTTTATTTTCTCTCTCTCTCTCTCTCTCTCTCTTTTCACTCTCTTCCCTCCTTTCTCATTCTGTTCATTAGTTCTCTTTCTGTATCTATCCTTCTCTTTTCTTAGTTTCTCCTAATCTCTACATCTTCTCCTCTTCCCTTCTTCTTCTTCTTCTTCTTCTTCTTCTTAATCTTGTTCTTCTTCTTCTTTTTCTTCTTCTTATCATCATTATCATTATTATCATTAGTATTATGAGAATGATGACGATGATGACGATTATTGTTATCATTATTATTCTATTCCTTCCTCATTTTCTTCTGTCTTCCTCCTCTTCTCTCTTCCTCCGCATTTCACATTTTTTTCCTCTCTCTCCATTTTTTACCGTTTATCCGGCTTGTTGTTGATTGTGACGTCATTCCAGTCTGGTTCAGATCCGTTTCTGGGACGGGGGGGGGGTAGGGAGGGCGGTTCTTCTTCCTTGTCTGTTTGTCATTTTTTATGTCTTCTTCTTCTTCTTCTTCTTTTTCCTTCTTCTTCTTCTTCTTCTTTTCCTTCTTCTTCTTCTTCGTCTTCTTCGTCTCCTTCTTTTTTTTTTCTTATTTTTCATCTCTTTGTTTTTTATTATTATTATTCATCTTGTCTTCTTTTTCTTTTCATCTTTTAATGCTCCTCTTGCTTTCTTCCCTTCTTTCTTGCCTTTCCTTCCTCCTCTTCAAAGAGAGCGAGAGTGAATGATTGACAGTGAAAACAAGAACAAGAGTGCGATTGAGAATGAGTGATAATGCGAGAATGAGAAAGAGAGTAAGAGGAAACGTAAGAGTAAGAGTGAGAGTGAAAGTGAAAGCAAGAGTGCGATTGAGAAAGAGAAATGGTAATGAGAAAGAGAAAGAGAGAGTAAGAGTGGTGATGAGAAAGAGAGTAAGTGTAAGAAGAAAGAGAGCAAGAGTAAAGTAAGAGTGAGAGAGCGAGAGTGCGATTGAGAATGAGAGTTGGAATGAGAATGAGAAAGAGAGTAAGAGTGATGATAATGATAATGAGATAAGAGAATGTGAGAGTGAGTGCGTGACAGAGAGAAGAGAGAGAAGAAAGAAAGAAAGAAAGAAAGAAAGAGAAAGAGAGAAAGAGAAAGAAAGAAAGAGACACAGACAGACAGACAGAGCGAGCGACAGAGCCTCAAAAAAAACTGGGTTCCCGTGCACTCTCGACAGGAAGAGAGCTCGCGCGCCCGCACAGGTGAGAAACCCACACGGTTGACCTTTTTACGTCAGGAAGATATTTGCAGGTGAAAAAGGGAGAGAGAAAATGATAGATTTTATATATATTTTGATCCAAGTTTTGTGCGTCGTTGAGTGTGTTTTGCGATGTGTTATGTGTGTATGTGCGTATGTGGGTGTGTGTGTCCGTGTATGTGTGTGTGTATGTAAATGTATGTATGTACGTATGGGTGTGTATGTACGTATGTGGGTTATGTATCTATGTGTATGTATGTATGTGGGTGTATGTATGTGTGTATGTACCTATGTGTATGTATGTATGTATG